AAGCGAATTGAGTCATTCGAGACTACCTTGTCCTCAGGAACCCACCTTGTCCAGCCTGAGGAACCTTGTCCTCAGCGTGAAGCAGCTTGTCCTCAGCGTGAGGAACTTGTCCTCAGTGTGAGGTACCTTGTCCTCAGCTTGCGGAACCTTCTCCTCAGCGTGATGTACCTTGTCCTCAGCCGTGAGGAACCTTGTCCTCAGCGTGAGGAACCTTGTAACCTTGTGCTCAGGATGAGGTACCTTGTCTTCCCTTGTGCTCAGCGTAAGGAACCTTCTCCTCAGCGTGAGGAACATTGTCCTCAGTGTGAGGAAGCTTCTCCTCAGTGTGAGGTACCTTGTCCTCAACGAGAGGAACTCACGTTCTCAGCGTGAGGACTTTATGGAACCTTTTCCTTAGTGTGAGGTACCTTGTCCTCAGTGTGAGGTAGCTTGTCCTCAGCGTGAGGAATCTTGTCCTCACCATGAGGAACCTTGTCCTCAGCGTGAGGAACTATCTTGTCCTCAGTGTGAGGTACCTTGTCCTCAGCGTGAGGAACCTTGGTAGATTAGATTAGATTAGAAATTTATTAGATTAGAAATTTATTATCTTTCCCACAGAGGAGCTTTTCAAAGATAATTACAAAAGAAATGCAATAATTTACATAAATATAAAAATATGTATATACATATATATACAGGAATATAAGTACCTAATTACTATTTTATAGACATACACATTACTATAATGAGTTTAAAGGTTTAAAAGTTTAAATAGCTAAGAAGTCGCTGAGAAGTTTGTTTCGAAGGCTTCTCTTAAAACTTACAACATTTGGACAAAGTTTAAACTTAGACTCCAGAGAGTTCCACAAGCTTACAGTTCTATAATAAAAAGTCCTTTGGCCAGTGGCACTTTTAAATAGTGGAATGTTCAATTTCTGTGAACTTCTCGTGGATCGCTGGTTAATGTCTCCACGCTTTACAAATTGTTCGGATAATAATCTGGAGCACAACCAGTCATGCATTTAAATGCCAAAGTGGCGTTTCTCAAATACAACTCGCTAGCTACTGGCAGCCATTTCAATTCCTTTAGTGCTGGTGTGACATGGTCAAATTTCCTTATACCACAAATTAAATTCTGAATTAACTGCAGTTTCTCGCTGTTACACTTTGAGGTGTTACACCATACATTGGAACAATAATAAAGTCTGCTGAAAACCAAACTGTTCATGTAGTAATCAGAGTACATTTGTCGAGGCATGCTTCACACGATTAATTTGACCCAGTATGGACATACACGTGGAGACGGTCTTATTAATATGGTGGTTGTAGGTTAAATTAACATCCAGAGTCACGCCAAGGTCCTTTGCCATTCCGATAGGGTTTATTTCTTTTCCCAATAGTGTCAGGGAAAAGTCCTGTAGTCTAGATAGCATTTGTCTGCTCCCAAACACCAATAACTTGGTCTTTTCAGGGTTCAGAAGCAGGCAATTGCTAAAACACCAATTTCGGACTTTAGTCAAATCCTCGGTAATATTCTCTATAGCAAAAGATTTACTCTGAGCTTTAAAGGAGTGCAGTAGACCTGTGTCGTCTACGTAGCAATGTGGATCACAGTTTTGAGGTGCAGTTGAGAGGTCGTTGACATAGATGTTAAAAAGTAAAGGCCCAAGGATACTTCCCTGCGGCACGCCGTTCGTCAAAGGCAAGGCATCCGATACGTACTGTTTATTCGTACAACCTGCTGTCTGTTGGAGAGAGGCAACCCTTTCGCAAACCTTGATAAAACAGGTAATAATGATATTGGTCTGTTATTATTCGCCACTTCCGGGTGATCTTTTCCCTTTGGCCGGAATTGGTGTAACTTCGGCAATTTTCCAAACTATAGGATAGGCTGACGTAGTTAGTGTACGCAGACCACGCCAAGGGATCATTTGACCTTTGGGCAAGCTTGCGCCAGTGAGAAAGGTGCCCTTTCAATATAAAAAATTTGCCTTTGCGAAATAGTGAATTGTCAGAAATGTTAGTGCAATTCTTTTACGAATTTGCTTCAGAAAACGCAAGAAATGCAGCCCCCCCCCCCTTTGACATTTAAAAATTACTTTTACAAATATAGTGTACCTACCATCATTTGGGGGGGGGGGGGATTTATGAGTTCAAGTTGAGTTATAATTGAGTCAGCGTTAGAGTCAGAAGCTGGGGTTTAACCCATTGAGTAGCATTGCACCCTGATGCACCCTACTTTAGTATTTTACTCTGTCTAACGCCAGACGATTTTACTCTGTCTAACGCCAGACGATTTCACTCGTCAAGGGGAGAGCGCTGGCGCTTAATGGGTTAACTGGCCTATCTGCCCATGTGTCTAGTTAACCCATTGAGTAGCATTGCACCCTGATGCACCCTACTTTAGTATTTTACTCTGTCTAACGCCAGACAATTTTACTCGTCAAGGGGAGAGCGCTGGCGCTTAATGGGTTAAGGAATGGGATTGGATGTGACTGAAAAGGTTTACATATAATTTGTGTTGGCAATATGTAATCACTATACCTAGTGGGCTTTAAACTCAGTTTAAACTGACTGTTAGGGGGCATAAATTGGTTGCATTAGTCATGGATTTGTTACATGTAGTAAAAATACTATACCCCGTATTGGACATGGTAAAAGTGACCCTCAATTTTCATATTAACGACATTTTTTTGGTTACCAAAATCATTTTGGGGTTAATTTTGTTACAATGTAGTAAGAATACTATACCCCATATAGGACATGGTAAAAAGTGACCCTCAATTATCATATTAACGGATTTTTTTGGTTTCCGAAGTCATTTTGGGGTTTATTTTGTTACTATGTAGTAAGAATATTACACCCTGTATAGGACATGTTATAAAGTGACCCTCAATTTTCATATTAACGGATTTTGTTTGTGACCGAAATCATTTTGGGGTTAATTTTGTTACTATGTAGTTAGAATACTATACCCCGTATAGGACATGGTAAAAAGTGACCCTCAATTTTCATATTAACAACATTTTTTTGGTTACCTAAATAATTTTGGGGTTAATTTTGTTACAATGTAGTAAGAATACTATACCTCGTATAAGACATGGTAAAAAGTGACCCTCAATTTTCATATTAACAGATTTTTTTGGTTTCCGAAGTCATTTTTGGGTTTATTTTGTTACTATGTAGTAAGAATACTACACCCTGTATAGGACATGTTATAAAGTGACCCTCAATTTTCATATCAACGGAATTTGTTGGTGACCGAAATAATTTTGGGGTTAATTTTGTTACAATGTAGTAAGAATACTATACCTCGTATAAGATATGGTAAAAGTGACCCTCAATTTTCATATTAACGACATTTTTTTGGTTACCAAATATTTTGGGGTTAATTTTGTTACAATGTAGTAAGAATACTATTTTTTGGTTTCCGAAGTCATTTTGGGTTTATTTTGTTACTATGTAGTAAGAATATACACCCTGTATAGGACATGTTATAAAGTGACCCTCAATTTTCATATTAACGGATTTGTTGTGACCGAAATATTTTGGGGTTAATGCGCCTTTCAAGAGATGTTTTTGACCCTGTTTTGAAATATAAACAAGTAGGCGGAGCTTAATCAAACACGCTTGACAATTAGTTAAAGCGGCAATCCCTCTATTTATTAGGGATTGCTCGCAGTCTACTATGTAGTTAGAATACTATACCCCGTATAGGACATGGTAAAAAGTGACCCTCAATTTTCATATTAATGGATTTTTTTTGTTTCCGAAGTCATTTTGGGGTTTATTTTGTTACTATGTGGTAAGAATACTACACCCTGTATAGGACATGTTGTAAAGTGACCCTCAATTTTCATATTAACGACATTTTTTTGGTTACCGAAATAATTTTGGGGTTAATTTTGTTACTATGCAGTAAAAATACTATACCCTGTATAGGACATGGTAAAAAGTGACCCTCAATTTTCATATTAACGGATATTTTTGGTTACCGAAATCATTTTGGGGTTGATTTTGTTACTATGTAGTAAAAATGCTGTACCCCATATAGGACATATGTGACATTTTTTTGATTACCGAAATCATTTTGGGGTTAATTTTGTTACTTTGTAGTAAAAATACTATACCCCGTTTGACAGATTTTTTTGGTTTCCGAAATAATGCATTTTGGGGTTAATTTTGTTACTATGTAGTTAGAATACTATACCCCGTATTGGACATGTTATTTACACATAATATTTCATATTAACGGATTTTTTTGGTTTCCGAAGTCATTTTGGGGTTTATTTTGTTACTATGTAGTAAGAATACTACACCCTGTATAGGACATGTTGATCCCCATCATGATCGTAAACATTTGTTGTATTTCTCGCATATCTCTCCTTCTCTTCCTCTTTTTCCTCCATTCTTCTGTCTGGTGTGTTAGGTTTTTGAATTTTGCTTTTTACTGGTTTACTAGGCGTACATATAGGTGCGTTTTATTTAAATTTTGCGCAGAGTGCTTTGTGGCTTGTTGTTTGTCGCCTATATTGTAATGTGATATGTTGTGACATGGAGAGCCAGATGCTTTCATTTTGCGTATTATATTTGTGACTTGTTGATACGATGGGGGTCAAGGTCAAATTGAATTTCAGGGTCAGACAACGCAGGAATCCAGCTAGGAATATTGAACAATTTGTTTGGATGAATTGCAGCAAGGGTTTTAATGAAGTGGGAAAGGCATTGCATCATGTTGAAAGATGGTAATACAGTGTCTTTCTTCCTTACAATATTCTTGACATAACCCCAGAAATTTTTCCGGATATATTTGTCATGGTTAAGTGACTGGCTGCTGTCTAGACTAGACTCATTGTTATTGTTTGAGCGAAGCTTATCACGCAATATATGTGACACATATTTAATTTCATCTTGTTCACCATTCGTTGATTTAAGGGTTTTCAGAGCTTTTTTCAAATCCTTGATTTCATAGTCCTTATATTTATTTAATGGCGAATTGTCAGGCTATAACCAAAGTTTTGGGCGAAGTAATCGTATATGATGTTATTTAATAGCTTTATGTTGGAATTTAAATTTTGTGATGTGATTGGATCAATGGAGTGAAGTGCAAATTTGAAATGTTTGTTGGCTGTTGACCATTCGGAATTGCTTTTAGGGGGTTTAATACCTTTTCTTAAATTCGCAATATCTTTCTTTTCAACCATAGGAGTTTTGTTGATTGTCGAATGGTCCATTTCAGGAATATTTTCCGTGTCAGAATTGTTTTTGTTCCTCTAGGTCTGTACAGAATTCACTGTCTAGACCTTGAATAACTCTACAACTGCGTTGATGCATCTTTAATCCTCATGCTCCTTTACATACTTTACCACAGCAACACTTGATTATGGTTCGACTTGACACAACAACATTAGGAGAATCCATCATGGGCGTTTGCCTTCCCGTATTTTCGGCAGAGTGATCTTGTTCTGCGTAATTAACTCGCTGTTTACATCGCCATGAATGTCGACCGAGTGTAACGAAATCTTTCTCACAGAACGAACAAACGAGGCAAGTCAACAACATTAATATAAAACTTGAACGAATCATGATTACAATATTTACTGATGGATATTTGTGAAATAATTTGTGATTCAAGTAATAAAATTTTTATAAAACTGCAGACACGTACAGAGCACGTCAATGCTCTGCTCAATGGCTAATAATAATAACAATTTATGAACAGCAACAACAGCAACAGCAACAACAACAGCAGCAACAACAACAGCAACAACAGCAGCTTGCGTCGCAGACGGTGGGTGAAACTTTGGAACAGTAAGTTTAACCGTCTCCGATCCAGCGACCATATTCTTGTTCATGACCCCCCTCCCCCTGTTTTGCATAATAATTAGATCATTTTCCTGCGAAATAATGAAATCAACATGGCCGCTGTGTTCACAGAAGCTCAGTGGAATTTAGCATTTGAAGAGGTCAAAAGTCAATTTAAATTGCCAAACATTCTACCAGAACAAGAAAAATCAATTAGAGAATTTTTCAAGGGGAAAAATATATTTGTAAACTTGCCCACGGGTTATGGTAAATCACTAATTTATCAGTGTCTTCCAATTATAAATGGCGCGCCTCTTCATGCGAAGCCTCGTGGATCGAGTGTTATTGTTGTCATTTCGCCTTTGCGATCTCCGATGGATGATCAAGTTTTATATCTGAATAATCTCTGTATTCCAGCCATAGCCATTACAAACGACGATGATCCAGAAATCATCCAGCAAGTTTTAAATGGGTATTACATTGTCGTGTTTGGCTCACCTGAGGCATTCTTTACTTGGAGAGGATTATTTATGTCTGAATTAAAGGAAATGATAATAGGGGTCGCTATTGATGGGGCACACTGCATAACACAATGGTATGTTAATGAACTGTTCCTTCAATATTATGTTAATTAATCATATCTCTGTTTTCGTTACTGAGTTATTATAAAGCGGTATATGATATAGTTTTTCGAAGGAAACTTCAAATTCATCCTCTTTTTCACCATATTTGCCTTGGCCATAATATTAGGATCAAAATTGCATAGCGTTTGAGTTAAATATATAACATTGGGTTTATCTTACTTGTGAAATGGTGGTACAATATCATGAAACCTGTATATAGTATATGGTATGAGATTAATATAATGTTATATTGTTACTTTGTAGGGGTTTATACACAGGGAAAAAGATCCCTTTTAGAAAGTGGTATGGCTGTCTCGGTGAAATGAGATCACTGATTCCAAAACAATGCCGCCAGATCATGATTTTGACAGCAACTGCAACAAAAGCTACAAAACTGCAAATCATAGATACTCTACAGTTGTCATTTGATGATGTTAAAATGATTGCAAAGAGCCCGGACAGACCCAATATTTCCTATGTAGTAAATTATTTGGACAAAAATTAACCGATCGAGGCAGCGTTTTCATCTTTAATTTGCGAGATGAAATCAAGTGATGTTACAACACCCAGAACTATAATTTACTGTCAGACACGAAAACAATGCTCAGTTATTTTCCGTGTGTTTGAAATTTTCTTGGGTAAGCACATGTTTTATGGCAAGTCGTTTTATGAAATGTACCATGCAGGAAGCCCTTCATCAGTGAAGGAACATGTTCTGGATAATATGGGCAAAGATGATGGCCATATTCGAATTCTGATATCTACTGTGGCATTTGGAATGGGTGTTAACTGCAAGTTGGTGAGAAGAATTGTACATTTTGGTCCTTCAAAATCTGTTGAACTTGTACATCCAGGAATGTGGTCGTGCTGGGAGGGATGGTTTACCAAGTACGTGTGTGCTTCTATTCAATGGTCTCTTGTCTGTCCATTGTGAAAAAGATATGACGCAGTATTTTCAACTTGAAGAATGTAGGCGAAAATGGCTAATGCATCATTTTGGTGTCAGTTGTAACCCTTCGCAATTCCATAACTTGCATGAATGTTGTGATATTTGTGCTAGTCAGTTTACATGTGAGACTGACAACTGTGCTGAGTTTTGGAGTCCAAGCCTAGGAAACATAAATGTACCACTGTCTCTTACTACATCTGATGATCCAAAAAGTACAACTACTAGAAATGTTACCAAAGAGGATAAGGAGTATTTAAGGAAGAAGCTTGTTGAATACCACCAAGATCTGATCAAGCAAATGAACATCGACAAAATGGCCACATGCCCAAACCACATCCTAGAATTCAACAACTTTCATATTAATGAAGTTATTGAAAGCTGTCATAAACTATTTACTATATAGGACATAATTAGTAATGTAGAAATATGGCGACACCAATATGCAATTGGCATATTACAGCAAATCAATGATGTATTTGGTGACATTATGGAAGTACCTACCATTTATGATGATGAATCAAGACATGATTACTCCATAATTTCGGACTGGGACCTCTTTAATGGACACACACAATGATGAATCTGTAATTTCCTTGGGTAACATTGATATGAGCAAATAGCTCTAATGAATTACTTTGCCAATACAACAATAATTGAAAACATTGACTTTGATATTTACAACTATTTATATCTTTGATATTTACAACAATTTATGCTGTGTAACTTTCACAAACGAGGATTGAATTGGATTTGACTGAAGTCAATGTAGTTTGTTCAAGTCGGAGGATTGGAATTTGAGGTATAACAACTGGTCATCAACAACTATAGCAAGTGTAGTAAATTATTTTTTATCCAGTTTCAGAAATGGATATTTCTATTCCTATTATCCCATTATATCCAGTCCCAGAAATGGTTAAAAATTAATTCACTGCATGTCTATACTGTATCTTGATTAAATATCCAGTTTCATTATGTGTTCAATAATTTACCCAAGCTATGCTGAAAGAAAGGGAAGGAATTGTCTTGAAGATATTAACCAAAACTGCCAGTTGGTTGCCAGATTTCATTATGAAGCAATGTCTTACCTGATTAAAGAAGATTACTTTGCAACAGATGCCCTGAACTTTGTTAACAGCTTGGCCAAACAAATGGAATCAAAACTTACAAAATCTAGAGAGATCAATGTCATGAGAAAAGAAAAGCTTGCCTTATCCAAAAATCAGAGAACACTCTTCCAATGTTGTGCCAATGTTTATAATAAAGTGACAGCTAGTACTTCGCAGAGTGAGACATTACATTCTGACAGCGATGAAAGTGACTGAATCGATTGAAATTATTGCTGACAGTATACATTAATAATTACTTAAACCATTAAACTTCTATG